TGCTTAAGTAAAATTAACTCTGTGTATGACCCATTGGGACTAGTTACACCAGTGACAGTGAGGGCGAAGATTCTCCTTCGCAGACTGTGGGGATTGAAGCTAGATTGGGATGAGCCCATAAGTGAGAAAGTAGAATGGAAGCGGTTATTTGAAGATTTGAGCACTGCATCAGGGCATGAGTTTAAAAGATGTGTGAAAACGCTGGAAGCGAAACCTGGAATACCACCAACGTTAGTGATGTTTTCAGATGCGTCGGAGCAAGTACTAGGTGCAGTAGCATATGCAAGATATGAACTGTGGAATGGAAAATTTGCATCACAAATCATTGCAAGTAAAAGCAGAGTTGCACCAATTGAAATCGTCAGCATAGTAAAGCTAGAGTTAAGTGCAGCCGTGTTGAGTAAGAGATTGGCTCAATACATCAGAAAGGAGATGAGGTTAGAATTCGGCAGGGTGATCTACTTGGTTGATAGTGAAATAGTGCGAGCAATGATTGAAAAGCAAAGCTATGGTTTCAAAACCTTTGCGGCAACGAGGATTGGCGAGATCCAGCAAGACACTCAACCTCATTAATGGTGGTGGTGCAAAAGAGCGATCAACATTGCTGATGCAATCACCAGGGGTAAGAGTACAAAGGAAATCGGACCCAAAAGTAGCTGGCAGTGTGGGCCAGAATTTCTAAAATGGCCAATTGAGCAATGACCCATTGCACAAAATTGTAGTGAGAAGAATTTACCAGAGAGAGTAAAAGCGGTGATGGCCGTTGATGTCCAGGAAGAGGAGTCCCTAGCTGACAGAATAAACGCTAACAGACATAGCAGCTATCAAAAGCTATTGAGAGTAACTGCTAGGATTCTTCGGATATATGAGAAGAAAAGGTTGAGCAGCGTGGCAGACGAGATCACTGCAGAGGATTTGAAAAGGGCAGAAATATTCTGGGTGAAGGAATCCCAGAAAACAATGGTTAAACTGCTAAAAGAAGACAGGGCTCAATTTGATAAGAGATATGCTCGATTGGGCCCCAGGATCCGTGAAGATGGTGTGATTGTCGTTGGGACTAGAATAAAGAGTCATGTTCACTTTAGCTATAACAAGGAAGAAGTGCCTCTGTTACCGTATGATCATAACTTCACAAAGCTATATGCCAAGAGCATACATGACAGAGCTCACTTGGGTGTTCAGTCAACGGTAGCCAAGATCCGCCTTTACTACTGGATCATTAATGTTCGGAGAATGGTAAAGACCATAAAGTATCATTGTGTGGACTGCAGGAAGTTTGAAAAGAACACGTCAGCACAGCAGATGGCGCCTTTGCTAGATAATCGACTAAAACCATCACCGGCTTGGACATACGTAGGTGTGGATTTGTTTGGACCCTTCACGACAAGGGGAGAAATCAATAAACGGGCAAGAGGAAAGTCGTATGGCGTAGTGTTTGACTGTCTCGTGACGAGGGCTGTTTACATAGATATAGCTACCAGCTACAGTGCAGATGCATTTCTGCTTGTTTTCAGAAAGTTTGTGTCTCTAAGGGGATATCCCGAAGAGGTATATAGTGACGGAGGGACACAATTAAGCGCTGCAGCAAAGCAGTTAAAGGAATTCGGTGGGAGACATGGCATTAAGTGGAAGTTTTCGACACCCGATGCTCCGTGGCAGAATGGAGTGGCGGAAAGTTTGGTGAAGGGCATTAAGAAGGGCATTAAGAAGGCCATCAATCATGCCATTGGGGAACAAATACTTACCTTTAGTGAACTGCAAGCAGTTATGTTTGAGGCGGCAAACCTGGCCAACGAGAGAACGAGAGGCCGATTGGCAAACATCCGACACACCCACAGGATGGGTCATATATGTGTCCGAATGATTTGTTACTAGGGAGGTCATCAGGAAAAGTGCCGGATGCTCCATGGAGTGACAACGTAAACTTTAAACACAGGATTAAATTTGTACAGAGTTTAGTCAATGGATTCTGGAGAAAATGGACCCGAGACTATTTTCCCACACTGATTGTGAGACAGAAGTGGCATACTGTAAAACGGAATTTACAGAAAGGAGAAATTGTAATGGTACAAGACAGCAACACGGTCAGGGGGAAGTGGCGTATTGGTAGGGTGACTGAGGCACCTCTGAGTGCGGATAATGTGGTGCGGAATGTTGAAGTGATGGTCAGCACAGAAAGTGGTCTGAAGACAAATATCAAACGGGCAGTACAACGACTGGTAGTGCTTCTCCCAGTAGAGGAACAATAGTGGACTTTGGGGTAGTTTGGTGGGGTGGGGGGAGTGTATCGTTCACGATATGGCAATTGCGCCCTCTTTTCATTTTAATACATTATCACCAGAGCGCGTAATTTTGATGTAGACGACATTTTAGAAACGTCAGATAATGACGTACGCAATGAACCTTTAATGTTTGGTTGCATATTGAGAGCTCAAGAGTGAGTACACAATTAATGGTTTTTAATCATCTTAAAGTTAATTATTGTAGAATCAATAGATGATATTACCGGACATTAAAGTTTGAAATTGAGTTGACAACAACCAAGTGAGGGCGCAGTGTCTTATTTTTGTGCTCTACAACCATGATGAAGTTTCTCAGCAACATTGAGCATAAAAATCAGCAAAAAGGAAAACTAATATCCAAAATCCGTTACAAAAGTCGTCAAACAACAAAATCTGCTACTGTATATTAACATTTTTTTTTTAAAGCATTGTCGTTTCTCCTTTGTCGTTCTTCCCTTGTGTTCGTTCCGTCGTGTTTTGTCTTGTCTTTGATTATGGAACAAATTACTTTTCATTTTTCTCTGGTGGAGCCAGCCGTTAAGCCATTTGGTCTTATTTGACTTCTCCAGACACAATTGTATTCGATTTTGCTTGCATCTTTATTATTTATGTCTTGTTACCACCTTTATGCATTGTGTGAATAAATAAATATGAAATATGAAATATACATTGAGTAAATTACAAGTGTTTCTCTCCGAGTGAAGTGGATTTATAAATAGCACTCTCCTAGGGTGTTTTTGGTAGGAAAAGAAGACTTAAACACTGTGGGTATAATTTTTTCTTTGCAAAGAAATAGGGGGGGGAGGGGTGTACGCCCCTTACGCGCCACCCCTCCTAAATCCGCCACTGGAAATAAGCCTATAGGCCCTAGGCTTAGGCAGGCCTACTTGTCTACTGAAGGGGTGTCGTCAATGGAGATGTGCACACATATCAGTGTACTGTGGTCACTGTGCATGGGGTTGTCTGACAGCACATACCTGCTGACCTCGATAGAGAGTGATTGATTGCACAAAGGTTTCCATGCTGGTTCATCTGCGCTTAAACTGTCTTTGTAGCTATGCATTGCGCGATGTGACATAGAATCAACCTTTTTATGGAATTGTGTATCCATTCAATTGTTTATCCATTCAATTATTTTTTTTGTGATATAAGGGGTGGGGGGTGAGTCGCAGGCGGCCCCACCCACTGTACCAGGCGTTTGTGTTTGCATCTCTCGAACCGCTCGTTTTTCTCTTGTGTAGGCCTGTGTGTACCTTTTGTTTTACACACAAATATGCTAGGCACATAATCCGAATTTGTGGGGTCGTCCGATTTTTTGCCTGTTAAAACATTATTTAACATGTCACAGCCTAAAAAATAATTGGAAGCAAAATGGAATATAACGGTAATGGGCCTTGGGTCTGTTTTTACTTAGAAGAGATGAAGTGCTCGCTATATTCTTGCTTTTCTGATCATAGAAGAATACCATTTTTTTTCTACGTATTGCAGAGATCTATAATTTTCTTCGTTTTGATTTTCTTTTAGGTGGAATTCTGTAAAAAATCACCACCAAAACAAGTGTGGCCTTATCTAACCATATATTAAATTTATGTATATTCATTATGATTTTATAGATATGTAAACAGTTTATCAAAAATGTGTGAGTGGCATTATGTCAGGAATAAAATTGAATTTAAGTAGAAGAATATAATTGATTTTGTTTCTTTTTAGAGTGTATTCATATAACATAGGGGGCGGATCCAGAGGTGGTGGGCCAATGAGACAATACACTAGGGATCCAGGGAAATTTAATCCGCGAACTGTTTGTTTTCAGACGCCCAAAAATAACAGAGGCATTTCCTTGCGATCAATTATTTATTTTTCTTTATTTCTTTTTCTTTTCGCTTTCCGAAAGAGGGGGGTGGGAGAGGGGTAGTGGCGCGACCGGCCCGGCTCCCCTTTAAATGACACATAGGCCCTAGTATGAGGTAAGTAATGTACTGTACTGTTTAAGTTGAATTGACATAGCATTCAGATTTCCTATCAAATAACCCTCAGCGCTGTGCAAATCGGCTATTGTGGTTGGTGCGACGATTTCCCCAAATGATTTTAAAAATTGAATAAAAATAGACCCATCATAAAATACATCCCAATAGGATGAATCCTCATGTTTCAAGATCATTCTGAAGATGTTTAAGGCTATTTTCAGACACAAGGACTTACGCGTAACATTAATCGAGTGGTGTGAACTTGGGCGCGGCGTAGCGAAAATATCGCGCAATCACTGGCGTACGGTAATCCAGCAACAGACCTCAAATTAGCCTACGCCACTGATTTACGACAGTCACGCATCAGTGATTTTGAACTCGGCCAGGATTTGACCAATCAAAATAAGCCTAGATGTAAGCAGAAAATAAAATGCGCGAATTACGAATAAGAATATTTCGCGCGAATACTTACGCTAGCGTTCGTTAATCGGCCAGTCTTGACATCTCGCAAGTTACGCCATGGATTAACGTAGGCGCGGCGTTAGATACGCCTGGCGTATCTCTCAGGTCTGAACGTACATGTTTTAAAGATGGACAGTCAAAAAGGAAATGGTTTAAGTCTTCAATTGACTTACATTCACAAATTTTGCACAAACCATTATGTTTATCAGACCAGAATCTTTTCCTTCCTTCCAAGTCCAATGTATTGGTTCTGGCCTTAAACTTCGAATTTACACCGGTAAAGTTTACCTTGTCACGTAGATAATTTTATAAGCCTGGTTGTATTTTATATTTATAATCACTTAATGATGATTTACCTCTTACTTTTTGAAACCATTCTTTATTATTATTACAAGCATTTTGATAAACAAAATTCCTTAACCAATCGTTATTAAAATTCATATTTCATATAAATTACACTTATTTAGCAAAACTTTAATATCATCAGCCCATTTCTATGTTTGCATTTGGCCCAAATTCCAACAAAGCTTTACCCAATAACTTTGGCCACTTAATTCTATTAAAATACGAAATTCTAAACTTATTTTGTATGGTTGCCATCCAAGATCCCCTAACAGGGCCTCTTTTGCAACATTTGGAACTGCAAATTTTCTAGTTTTTCGATGTTTATTTTGTTATTACTAAGCCATACAGAGGATGCATAATTCAGTGTTGGGAGGCCAATTATTTTCCATAATAGGTCACCATAGTGAAATCTGTTGAAACCTTCCTGATTATCTATAATTGACTTAATATATACAATGATTTTGTTAGTTTTCTTAATAGTTTCTTCTATGTGCAGATTATCCTTATTTGATCTAGAGATAAATTATACCGAGATACTTGTATTTATCAGTTTCAAGGATATAATTTTCTCCTAAGTAACTTCCATTTCCTGAACAATTTACCTTTTTGAGCTATAATTAATACCTTCGATTTCTCTAGGATAAAATCGAGTTTCCATTGTCTTGAAAAATCATTGGCAGTACAAAGAATTTTTTCAAGATCATGCTCACTCTCGCCTATTAGAACCACATCGTCAGCCCAGAAAAGGCTGCCGATCACATTACCATAAATTAAGATTCCAAGCTTCATTTCCCTTATTGCGATATTAAGTTCGTTCATAAATATTGAAAAAAGAATTAGTGAGAGTGGACATCCTTGCTTTACATCTTCATTAATTTCGAAAAAATCTGATTCGATATCATTAAATATTTTTAATCAAATTGGAAATCTTTCCTTTTATACCTGTGTGTTTTAATGCCTTAAAAAGACCTTCTCGCTAGACAGTGTCGAAGGCCTTTATAAAATCCAAGAACGCTAAATAATTTTTTTCCCTTCGGCCTCTCTTGTGGCAATGATGCTTTTTAAAACAAAGATGAGGTCATCACATCTTTTGTTATGACGGAACCCTCCTTGAACTTCAGTCAAAATATCATTGTCTTCTAAATAATCTGTTATCTTTAATTAGCTACAATTTTACTAAATAATTTTAAATCACAAGAGTTCAAAGTTATACCACGTTAGTTATTTAGGTCGCTAATATCACCTTTCTTAAATATGGGAATAATATGCCCTTCGTTCCATTCAACTGGGATATTTTCTAAATCCAGTAATCTACAAACAAGATTTTTTAATGAGGTAACCATTGATTTCCCACCATTTTAAATCATTTCATTGGTAATTGAGTCTGGGCCAGGGCTCTTATTGTTTTTAAATGAGGTATAGCCATTGTTACATCATCTAATAAAATATTTATATTGTTTAGACTGTAATAATATCCGGCTAGTGTTGTTGCAAAATGTATTTCAAACCAGTTATGCTTGGCTGGTTTTTGATTTACATTTTGGTACAGAATTTGGAGAGGGCGTTTGATCAAGTCAGACCTACGTTTTGAATTTGAAGTACATTTTAAAGAAATTAGAACTACGTCATTTTGGAAAATTTGAACTACGTTTTGAAAAATTAGAACTTCATTTTGTGAAACTAGATCTACATTTTGAGAAATTTACGACTACGTTTTGATAAATTAGACAGAATTTTGCAATTAAATTTTGATTTTAACATAGACTTTTTCTGCGTATAGCACCCCCATAGAAAAGCAGTCTTGTAGTGTTTTACTGACGGGGAACTCACTGGGTTTATAATATTGGGATGTGCAAGGATTTTTATTAGAGAAGAATTGTGTGTCTGGGTCAGTATTGGAGGTAAAGTCATCTGTATCAAAAATATAAATGTTGAAAATATGGTACATCATACAAATCGGAAGAAACAGGTGATACCAAAAGGGAAGTAGTAAGATTAAATATCACAAAATATATATGATACCTGAGTACCAAAAATATATAGCAACGGTAAAACCACAAGTTGAATAGCAACAGAAAAATATAATTTCGAATAAAAAGCAGGGATAAAATACTGAGTAATAGTAATACGTTGTTAGAACTCGGAATAATTATAATAATAATAATACACAAAGACAACAGCAATAATAATAATATAGATATAATAACATTAGTAACAATAATAATAATAATAATAATAATAATAATTAATAATAATAATAATAATAATAATAATAATGATGATGATGATGATGATGATGATGATGATGATGATGATGATGATGATGATGATGATGATGATGATGATGATGATGATGATGATGATGATGATGATGATAATAATAATAATAATAAATATGATTGTTCATCCCGTAGATCTTGTTCACTTTTTGTGAAGAAACGGGCTATGGTGTTATGATATAATTGAGTAATTATAACATTCCAAATACTTGTGTATAAAAGCGAAAAATAATTCAGAAATTTCAAACAGATAGCGGAAAGTATAAATGGATGGAGTTAGCTGTTCGTTGATCGGAGATGGCGAAGATCTGCATCAGTTGTAGTGGTAAATTTCTTTTGGTTTTTTAGAAGACAAGTGATCCTACCGTCCTGTGTCCATGTTGCTCGTATCATTGCGGTGTAAAAATAAAGAGATGATGGAGTATACTCAAAATGAGGGGGGCACATTTTGTTTTTGTAGATGATCAGTTAATGTTGTGACAAACTTTGTCCTGTATTCTCGCTATAATTATAAATATCACATAATTTGTGATACAAAATTGGTTGTATTAAGACACCGGCTAAAAAAAACCCCACAATTAAAAGTCTTAAAAAGTTATTATCAGTTAACTTATAGGCCTATGGAAAAAATATAGAAACAGTATTAATCATCTGTTGATTGATATGAAAATATTTTCATGCATGTTTTTATAACTGAAAGCTATTAAGTTAATGCAAATAATCCAAATGTTTTAAGTACCGAATAAAAACTTAACCCCGAGAGTAGAAGATACGTTATTGTAACTTTCAATTTCTGTTTAGCCAACTTCAGAATTGCTTTTGAAATTTTTAGCTATTTGGTTGTATCTAGATTCGATAAGAGTAACATTGTTTCGTTTTCTTTTCACTTGAAATGCTTGTAATGCAATAAAATACATTCATTTTCACATATATTTTCATTTTTCGTGCAGTGATGTGGTATTTGTCTCTTGATTTTTGAAACAACTGAACCACAACTATCTTGTTGTACAGTATATTAAAATCAATATGGCATTTGCTTCTAGGAAAAACCTAAGCTCTCCATACTTAGGCCTATTTTCTATGGCTACACTGTGTTTCCTTAGCTGTGTCTCACTACACCATGTATCTGGTGGACATATTCAGAATGTTACGGAACTTGCATGCCCTGAGGTATGTTCCTGCAATTTGAACGGTCTCGTAAATTGTTCGTACCGGAATCTTATCATTATTCCTGATAAAACCAAATTGCCAGTGGATACTAATGTGTACTTGCTGCAATACAACACTATCAGTGCCTTAAGTGGCTATAGCTTTAATACAACTCCCAATTTGACCTTTCTCGACCTCTACCACAACAAACTGATTTCCATCGATGAAAAAGCTTTTGCCGGACTTGCTCGCCTGCAGGTGTTGAATATTTCAAACCAAGTCTTTGATCAACATACCATTCACATTCAGAAAATCAGTAAAAACTGGTTCAAGGGGTTCACTGAGCTTACAGTCGCCAAATTGATGCTCATTGGTGCTGAAGTAATCGACGATTACGCTTTTTCTGATAATCCAAATATAAAAGAGATTCAACTGGATTCTAATAATCTGAAGGATATACCAAGTCACTTATTTCAAAATCTCCCTGATTTAAAAATTGTCCAGCTTTGTTGCAACCTTCTAACAGAAATTGATGGTAAACCTTTCTTTGGCTCCACCCATGTTGAAGAAATACATCTAAATTCAAATAGCATCAATAAGGTCCATGAAAATGCTTTTAAAAGCATGATGAATATATATGTTATTGATTTAGGTGACAACCAATTAACCTCAGACAACATTCACAGGCAAACTTTCACTGGACTAGCATGCTTAACAGAACTCTATCTGTACAGAAACCATTTGAAAACCATAAGAAAAGAATGGCTTCAGGACTTGACATCCTTAGAAGTATTTCATGCTGGTCACAACAGTGTCATAACCTTGGACGATAATGTGTTTAAGAACTGCTTAAACCTTAAAGAAATTGATTTAAGCTACAATTTAATCGTTGAAATTCACAGCACGCTGTTCCGTGGACTACCAAATCTGATGTGTGTTATTTGCTCCAACAACAAAATTTACAACATTCGTGATGATGCTTTTCAAGGTTCAAAGAACATCAGCACGCTCAAATTTAACAGCAATGTCTTCAAAACTGTTTCCAAATCAATTGGCCTACAACACCTACCTAATTTAGATCATATTTTTTTCTTCACAAATCCTTTTCAATGCGACTGCGATCTTGTATGGTTTATCAGCTGGATCCACTCTCCTAACGTCAGACCATACATGTACAATTTGGATGATGTGGTCTGTAATGGTCCACCAAACTTAGCCCTTCGTCGTCTCTTAGATTTGGATCCAGATTCATTCAGCTGCAGTTCCCATGTGGTGGCCATTGTTGTTTCAAATGCAGTTGTACTGATTATAATTGCAAGCGTCCTATATTACTTTCGTTGGGACATAAGGTAATAAGTAACTTTAGTAACAGTCCTCTACATTCATATTTTATTATGACCTAGAATTAATCTTAATATCTCTTTATTTTGAAAGTGCCAAAAAAGATATTTATTGGCTCTTGTAAAATTCAAATTCTTATTTTAATATAAATACATTTTATTAAAATAATTATTTAATAAGAGTGTGTACACCACTGGGTTAACACGTATAACCATAAATTCATTTTTATTCATTTTTTAATCTACAACACATTCCTGTTTATGGCAAAATCACCTACCTGAATTAGACAAAATCTTAACGATCATTTGTAAAATGGATGTTATTAATCACCTGAATTCATTTTTTTTAAATCAGATATTTACATCAAAAAAGAAAACTTCGCAAACAATATCAACAGCTAAACGAGGATGTTGATGGACCACCAAACATAGAGGGCTACATCTTTGATGCATTTATTTCCTACAGTAGTAAAGACTGCAACTGGGTCTCAAATGTGCTACATCCGACGCTCGAAAATGATCCATATAATTTTCGGCTGTGCATCGACTACCGCGATTTCATGCCTGGAGATTCCATTATCGACAACATTGCACGAGCCATTAGATGCAGTCGTAAGACTATAATGATCCTGACCAAAAACTTTCTGAGGAGTCAGTGGTGTTACTTTGAACTCGAAATGGCTAGGTTACGTTTGTTGGAAAACAGTGAAGATCTCTTTATCATCGTGCTTCTGGAAAAGGTTGCTACAAAGAATATGCCGCTGAAGTTGCAACAAGTTCTAAGGAAGAAATCTTACATCAGATGGCCTGATGACGAACCTGTTAAGCGAGTGTTCTGGACCAAGCTTGAAACAGAACTCCGATCGCAAAACCATATCAATTGACAACAGGGGCTTAGCCAGAAAAATGAAATAGGCCGTCCAAAATGGAAGCCAATGGGCGTGGCCCTGAGCCAATAGGCGGGCTACGCCCCTCCCAAAAATAAGGGGAAAAAATAGAAAATTATGATCTTTAGAGGGCATTTTAAATGTGTTTAAATGTTGGAATTTTGTCTTCAAAAAGGAATAGTGTTGAATTAGCAATCACAAAGATATTTCAGTTATATACATAGATTGCACACGGCTACGGTATTTCTAGGTTATGCAGGTGCATCTTCATCTTTCGCCTTAGTCTAGTGTAAATTCTACTCTGTCCTCCGAATCGAGAGATAGGCCTAGACCTACTGTATTTTGTTGACTAATAAAATTTAACTTGTGACGTTAACAACAAATCTTCTTTACGGTATTTCATGAATTGATTATAGTAAGAGAGTTACGAACACCAACAATATTTTGTCAGGGAACCGAATAGTGTATTTTGCAGAGCCACGTGCATGCGTTGTGGGTCCGGTTGGTTGTGGGCGACCAACAACCTTCCATTTTAATACGAAGCGTGTACAGTTGTACAGTGGCTGATTTCCGCAACAGCAAAAAAAAAATTTATTAGGGCGTTATAACGCCGTATTACGGCGTTATAACGCCCTAATACGGCATTATAACGCCGTATTAGGGCGTTAACGCCATAATTAGAGCGTTATTACGCCCTAATACGGCGTTATAACGCCGTATTAGGCCGGCGTAATAACGCTCTAATTAGGGCGTTTTAACGCCCTAATTTAAAATATATTTTGGTAGTCGTTTTGACGGCTGGGGCATGCTATGCTTTTTAATATAAGTATGAAACGCCAATGGAGTGCTCCAGATTATTAATATTATTTATTATTTATTATTATTATTATTATTATTATTATTATTGTTACCCAGTCAGCAGCATGCAGCATGTTGACTGGGTTCTGTTTCTGAGCAGTTTCTTCTTCCTTCCTTTCTTTCTTTCTTTCTTTCTGGCAACATTTTAAAAGGCTAGTGGCAAAATACGGTACCGATTTTATTAAAACTTGGTCAGTAGGCTCAGTGCCACCTTCCATTTATGTGTTGTTCACAACTTGGGGTCAAATGTCACATAAGAGGCATTGGGGTCAAAAAACCAAAAATCGTATAAAAGACTATTTCTCTTACAAATAACGTAGCTCGTCCTTTGCACATATACATTGGCATAAGGCAGTCTATAGAATTTTCAGGGATAAGGGGTCAAAGGTCATTAAGGGGTAATGAATAAAAGACTTCTTCTGTCACAAATAACATACACAGTCTTGTCCTGGGCACATGTGTATTAGCATAAGGTAGGGTCTCTATGGTGTTCAGCGATTTAGGATCAAAGGTCATTAAAGGGTTATTCTTTTGTTCTGGTAACATTTCAAAATGCTACTAATGACAAACGATTGGAACAAACTCAATCAAGAACTAGCAAAACCTCCTACACCCCAGTCTGGGATCAGGGTCACATAAGGGTCATCGGGGTTAAATCAGGAATGATCCTTAGGACCTTCTAAACACAAAAAATACTCTTCACCTCATAGGTCAAACTTCATAGGTCAAAGGTTCAAAATGTTACTAATGGCAAACGATTGAACAGAATTCAATCAAATTTGATCATTAAGAACCAGTGACACCTCTTACACCCCAGTCAGGGATAAGGGGTTACATAAGGGTCATCGGGGTCAAATTTTCAAAATAGCCCAATTGAGCTCGAATTTACCAGGAATGAACCTTCAGGACCTTCTAAACATGAAAAAAATATTGTTCGCCTATAGGTCAAAAGTCACAAGGGTGAAAATTATTAAATATTGCTACTGACTAACGATTGGACCAATTGCATTAGACAGACTCCTACCAAATATGGGGTGTTCACAGGTTGAGGTTAAAGGTCACAGTTCATGTTCTATTGAACATGCCTCTTTCAATTTAAATTATATTTACTAAAATAGTGTATATACATATAATACCTTAGATATTTGTTAAAAATTATATATTTTTTATTGTTATATTGTGAAAGAAATAAATGTTGATTTGATTTGATTTGAGTATCTCTAGTTGTTATTGTTGTTATTATTATTATTATTATTATTATTATTATTATTATTATTATTATTATTATTATTATTATTATTATTTATTGAATACTCTGCTCCAGTGGATCCAATTTTAGATACCTGCAGTAACTATGTGATGACTTCCGCACAAAAAAAAAACAAAAACAAAAACCAAAAACCAAAAATCAATACAAAACAAAAAACTCGCACTCCCAGTCATTTTTTCCATCTGAAAATTGACCGAAGCCAATCACGAACAAGTAGTTAAAAATCACCTTGTTATGCGACTAGCACCCCCTTACTTATTCATCGAACCCCACGACCTACTCCACCTTCGCGCTAGTGGCGGTGCCAGCGGGGGCAGGGGTCCTTAGGTCCCCCATCGGTCTGGTTAAGCCCCTCCCCCCACTTAAAAAACAATAATAGGCCTAGTTTTCCCATCCCAGCCATTTCCGGCCATCTAGTCCGATTTTTTTTTTTTTAATCCCGTTTTGGGAGGAAGGGATCCCCTTTACTACCCCTTATAAGCTCGGGCCTTCAGCCCTCAGATGACGTTGCGTGCTATAGTTACATCCATCAATACTTAGCCCCCCCCCCCAGTCGGACATCTTTGACCCCCATAAATTATACCCTCGAGCCGCCACTGCTTCGCGCCACTGGCCCCTCAACTCCATCAGCTTCCCCCATTTCAAGTTGTCTAGATACCCAACTGCAGGTATCCCTATTCTATATCGCTGTGCTCCAGTGGCTCAAAATTGGGTCTGGAGCACTCCATTGACGTTCCATACTTATATTAAATAGTAGAGCATGCCCCAGCCGTCAAAACGACTACCAAAATATTATGCTTCAAATTACGGCGTTAAAACGCCCTAATTAGAGCGTTATTACGCCCTAATACGGCGTTATAACCCCCGAATCAGGGCGTCCCTAATTAGGGCGTTATAACGCCGTAATTAGAGCGTTATAATGCCGTAAATAGGGCGTTATAACACCGTAATAGGGCGTTATAACGCCGTAAATAGGGCGTTATAACGCCATAATAGGACGCCCTAATACAAATTTTTTTTTTACTCTTTGGCGGAAATCAGCCACCGTAGTATTTACTGCTTTTCCCGAATTTGGCTAAACATTTAATATTTCTCAAATGCGCCATGGTAAACGGAACGACAACCTAAAAAGAAGTATGCACCGGTGTGTACAATCTGCAGAGAAGGCCTGCGAAAAGCATCATGAAATCGGTAGTTTAAAATTTCAACATTTGTTAAGACGGTGTATTTAGACGGCAGGTGTTTAGGCCTCGAAACTCAGGATGTACTTTAACCTAATTTTACATAGAGCCCCTATTTCTAAAGGTTTAGAGCCCTATATTTTTTATAGTAGAAAGCTAAATTAAGTTTATTTAAATCTAAGCCGTTGTAGTTTGTAGGCTTGCGCACCGCGGCTTGGGCCGACGCTAATTTCGATTGAGTGAACGATGCAAGTTTATTAAGTATGACTGAGCATGCGTTATTTATTTCACGTACATATATCGTTTACTGATTTCTTTACGGTCACGTAAAATATCCACTTCCATTTTTTAAAGGAATTCTTTCAGGACCCAAACAATTGCCATATTTTCATACGATGACAAACGATAACAAGTTCTTTATCATTTTAGTTTGGTTGACATACCCGTAGAATAAGTTATGGCTCCGTCAGTTACTATAAATACGAATAGATCTACTATGATTATAATTAATTTATGCTTATGCTCACCTTGTAATTAATTTAACTTTATTGATGAATTTATTTTAAGCAATCTCAATAAAAGTCCTAATCACAGAACAACTTTTATTTTTATGTATTATTATTATTTTTATATATTAATTATTATTTTTTATTAATTTTTTTTTCTTCATATTTTTGTTTTCTATTGTAATATTTTAATCATTTGTTTGTCTCATAATAGAGAATAGAGTAACGACTTGGAATTAAATCGTTACACTATTCATACTAAATCCATCCAATAAATTTAACGACTCTAAATTCAGGATGCCTATCCAAAGACCTTTAATGATTCGGGGGAGACTGTTCTGGTTTACTGCTCAAAAGGTGTCAATATTAGGTCGAATTATTTTGTTCTCATGTTGAGACTGCAGAGTTGTTGTGATGCAATGAAAGAAAAAATAAGTCTCCCTTTAATAGGGTTGTTTGACCTTTGGCCCACTCATTTTAGGTGCACACTCAAAGCTTTATTATTTATTCTTAAATTGTTTAAATCTAGCTTTATTGAGGTGATGTGTAGTTGTTTTTATTACTGCATTACTTAGTTTTGTGTATTACGACAACTATTATGGTGTATTCTTGTTTTTACTCTAGGTAGATCGAAAGGAAAGACGTCCCTATATCGATGATGGTGGTATACACAACAGACACCGGATTTGTCGGTTTCAAAGGCTCGGCCATGCTCCAGAATATGCTGTCGAAAGACATTTCAGACAAGCTAAGAGTCTCAGAAATGTGGACAGATCAGGACACTGTGCTTGCGAAACCTAAAGCACAAATAATTCTCCCAGTTTTGCCGGCACCGGTATCGACTTTGAATGCGAAGACACTGCAAAGAATAATCCCCAGTGTTATGAAAGGTTTAAACAGTGGCGGCTATATTAAGTGGTCTGATTCTGAAAACTAACCAGAATGGTGGCCGGCTGATGTTTGCTTTGGAAACCCAAAGCAGCGTCCCTTGGACCAAGGAGAAGGTAAAAGTACTTTTAATACATTATAAACAAAATCCTATTCGGGAAGGGGAACATCCCCCTCCCAAACCCCACGAATCTGCGGCGCTCGGACGGCGCACGAACCATAGTACACCTTGCCCTAGCCCTCAAATTTATTCAATGAATAATTTTGCGATATAGTTGAGAACCCCTGCTTTAAATTAACAACTTGCATACCGCCTACGAGATATGCCGAACTTGAATTGTAACGTTTTGATGTACTTTAAAATTAATATCATTGTCTTGTAATTTACATACCAGACCCAGCCTACTGGTAGTAGGTCTACTTACTGTACAATATTTATTCCGGTCTTGAATACTACTTCAACTATATTTTGATTTGAATACACTGATTAGTTTATTTCCTGTGTTGGTGCATGGAAAGATAATATGGTACAATTTGTTCCACAGTGAAGCTAAAATAAGCTTATAATGTTTTAAGTCCTTTTTTTTTTAACTATTAAATCTAACAATTATTTATGCAATGACATAATTATTATTTAATCACACACCAACTGTCGTCAGTAATTAAAGAGTCGGGACAGTACAACACAATTTTTCTATAGAGTCCTCAAAGATTGTGCCCACATTTTTACAAATTGGTCTAATTACGCTGTTTCTTGTGTCCAGATTTTTCATATTTTTACGTAAAATATGTCAACTTTTCACATTACTTGAATTTAAACTTTTGTCCCTGATACTGTCCCGCTTGCAAACCATGACGTGGCATTGACAAACACCCTATACATTGATTGC